GTGTCCCCCCCCAGCAGACCAGGGAGACGCGGAGCAGCTTTTCTCGCCCTGGAGGACGCGGGCGGCAGGACCGCGGCACGTCTGGGCGGTCCCACCGCCCGCGTCCTCCGGGGCGAGAAAAGCCCTGTTCGTAACGGATCCGACATAAGTCGGATCCGCGTAACTCGGGGACTGCCTGTACCTACTGTAGAGCCTAGTAAATTTTATTCATCTGTATCACAAAGCTAAAATTATTAGCTTTTCTCGCCCTGGAGGACGCGGGCGGCAGGACCGCGGCACGTCTGGGCGGTCCCACCGCCCGCGTCCTCCGGGGCGAGAAAAGCCCTGTTCGTAACGGATCCGACATAAGTCGGATCCGCGTAACTCGGGGACTGCCTGTACCTACTGTAGAGCCTAGTAAATTTTATTCATCTGTATCACAAAGCTAAAATTATTTCATGAATTAGATAACACATACCTCAGAAAACCACTTAGAGAAGAGGCTATGACTGTTTATCTCAATTAACTGTCCATACCTGTACCTAAAACATACGAGAAATCATTATTATATTGTAAAATCAGTTTTATTAATTGCAAAGGAATCATTAGCTACAGTTTACATCCCCAATATTTAAAAAAAAGAATTTTGTAAACTGTGGCATAACTGAGCCAGAATTATTTCTACGTTACTGCTTTATACTTATTAAAACAAGTATCTGACTTATTAATAAAATGTAACTATTACAATCTCAATTTTATGTCAGTATATCACTGCTCTCCATCTTTTCCACAAATATTTTTTGTCAAAAAAAATCTAAGATTTGGCACTGGCTTCTAATTAGGCACAATTCAAGTATAGACCACTATGCCAGTAATGTCATTCTTATTTTCAAGTAACTGCTTTACAGTCCAAAGTAATACAAGTATCAAGCTAACACTCATCAATGCTTTAGATGTTGCCAGTAATGCTAAACTATGTATGGCTGACCATAGAAGTGTTAATATTTCAGTTTAAGAGTATATAATCTGTCTATACACACTTTTGTTCAAAACTGTATTACTTGGAGTAATGATTTATAACTGAACAATATTTATAAAAAAGTTACTTAGGTTATTAAGATTTTCAGTTTGCAATGTTAAATTGAATTTTACTACTTGTCTGTCTGAATGTACAAGTTGAGTAAGTGAGGATGTGTTGAGCTATAATACAAACACCACAAAATACACATCTGGCTCCAAAAGCTGTTTAATTGCTTATTTAAGATGGGGGCTTATGTTGTATGCAAACAGAATAATAGGCCTGATTCAGCATGGCTTTTCACCTTTTTTAGTAGTTTGAGTGTGCAAAGCATGTGTAATACACTACCATTCTAAATTTCTAGTGTTTTACATCCACTGATTTAACTGGCTACCTAAAATGAAAGGCATTGGTGAATTGGGTCCAATATCTTCAGTAAGAATGAAGTTACTGGGACAGCATTTGCCCTTGAACAGGCCTGGGATACTACATAAAGAACACTCAGCACCTAATCTCTGCCTGAAAGAAAACCTGCCTTACTTGGTGGCACATCATAGCCACCCGTAATAGGTTACAGATGTTTAACAAAGTAATTGTATTTTAAAAACCAAAATATTAACAAAAATTACCTGTATGAAAGTCTAACGGTCAGCTTCTGAGCCAATGCTTTGCAGAGCGAAGTTTTGCCAGTTCCTGGAGGACCTATATTCAAACCATATCAGTAATACTTTACATAGAAACAAGTACTAGCTAATACGATCTGACACTTTTTAGCTACTGAATTCCAAAATTGCACTAATTAGATTTGATAGTATACAATTACACATTACTACCATAGCTACTTACTTTGAACAGTGATACAGATTGTTCATTTTGTCTCATTAGTGCTAAAATTCACCCTGTCTACTCCGCAACTTTTAATGGCGATTGGACCCTGTTACTAGACTGGCACGACTGGCTCTTAACATGGTCTGCACACTGACAGATGGTTACATCTCAGTAAGCATGGAAGCTAACATTTCTCTCTGTGTATTAGCATTATTTTTAAAATCTATTGGAATTGCATTGCCACTAATGTAGCTCCACTAACTATAAACAATAAAGGCACTATTATACACTGGCCCTCTAACCCTGCTTGGAGCACATCCAGACAGCATGCTGGTTAAAATGCCTGCACTCTCCCTTGTATGCAAGCATATCCACCAGTGAAGCTGCCCGTGCAGATTTTTTGTTTTGTTTTGAATAACGTAGATTGCTAGCTTAAGATGGCACATGGTTGTCCTCCTGCACCTGATTCAGCATATTTGTTTTCTACTGTATAGACAAATGCTAGACATGCTTGCATTCAGCCAGTCCCTTCTTCCTTCCAGTAATCTATATATTAAGATATTTCAGAGTGCTCTGCAGTGTGCAAATGATGACACTCTGCGGGTTTGCCCTTTAAGCACTTCATCTCCTCTAGGAGAGCTGCCCAGATTTTCCAAGACTGTACCAATGCAAACATGCTTAACTAGCCTAGTGTGCATATGCAAATATTGTAAAAAAAAGTTCATATGTAGCCACTAACTTAATTGTGTTTATAACCAGTTAAAATGACAGGGCTTCCAGTGGGTCAGAAAATCAATGTTGTAGTTGTGATGTGGCTACATTTAAAAAAAAAAAAAAAAAAAAAAAAAAAAACCTTTCCAATTCTGATACCTAGCTTTTTTCCTATTCTAATAGAAATTTTTAGAATTTCTTAAGTTCCATGTATTTAATTTTTATATTTACACAAACTCATTATGATTCTAGTACTCCAGGATCTAATGCTCCCTTTTAAATCATTTTGAAGCTTTCATTAACATTTCACATTTAGACCTATAAATAAACCAAGAGGAGAAGAGAACTCTAGTAATCTGCTCTACTTAATACAAAAATCTCATGGTAGCTCTACTAAGGTTACATGAAGTCTGTTAATTAGCATTTTCATTAAGAACGTCTATTTTTGATTCATGAACTTGATCACAAAGCTCATTCTGAACTGCCACTTGGCATATAATGGTTCAGCTGAAATCATATGGCATAATTTCTTCCAAAGCAACTAAACGATGGTCCAAAGACCATCTTTGTACATAGTACAAGAAATACCACAGTCACTCACTTAACTAAAAATATAATGCTTAGCATTGTATTTGTAAGTAATTATATCACTTTGTTAAATAATTAATCTGTGTAATATTAGTGGTTTTAAAAGGTTTCTTTTTCCCCTCAAGTTCTGCTGCATTCTTGCCAAAGAGGACTAGATACAGCTCCCAGAGAAACCCTGTCAAGGCTGCTCCCTAATCAGATTTCAGAGGGATCACTGTTCAACGTAAACGTGAGATTGCTTCCCCAGTATAGGAATATGGGAAGAGAACCAGTGGGAAAAGGAATCTACCTTATTCCACACAAAAGTGCAGTACAGCTTAGTCAGGAGAAAAGCTTTGGTATCAATATATTTACTCTTTATTTAGAAGTTGTAATTTTTACCATGCAGCAAGACAACTCTGTTCCAGGATATCAGGTTGCTGTCAACATTTTTGTCAGAAAACAGTAAAGCTGTCATCACGTAATCAAGTAGCTAGTTCAAGAAGAGGAGAGAAAGAAGAACAGTTAACATACATGCTATAACGGGATTACTAATAAGAGAACACCACATCATAATTATGAAATCAATGCAGAGGGGTAAATTTCTAAGCCCCATCAAAGGTTCATTTTTGGTCACTTCTAGTTATCTTACTACTACTTATTTTCCTTTTTATTTCCTCTCATACTTTTCTCTCTCTGATACCAAGCATTTATTTTGTTTCTCTGACACTTATTTTTAGTGCCTTTCCTCTAAATACAATAAGCATAGTTCCCTTTGAAAATATTTCTGCCAATATAATTGGAAATGGCATAGAGTATTGATATTGCAAATGGATTCCCAATGAACAAGAGGTTTTGTAAGATAGGTAATTGAACAAGTGTTTAATTGGTGGTATTGTTCCACACTGTCAATTTAATATGAACTATATCACTATCATATTCAGCTATAAGGAAGACATTTTCCATTGCTCTACTAAATGTTGAACATTTACATTTAATGGAATTCTGAGTTGTATGGGTTCTGTAACTGAAGAGACATCATTCTGTAATTTGTTTTTTAACTACCTGTATCATACATTCTGAAAATGGATTATTCTCCAGTCTGTCAATGTTTTAGCTGAAAAATACAAAAGGAGTAATGATAACTTATTTAATTTGTGACATGAAAAACTGGATTTTGTTGCTGGTCTGGAATAATGATAGATTTGCTTCAGTCATATCCATATTACATTTACTTTTAGATGTTCTAGAAGTGCGCATCGTAGTCATCACATCAGATACTATTTGACAATGTTTAACTATATGCTGTACCTGAGAAAGATATATATTGATAGTCAATCATAAGTAATTGTTTCCAGTCACATTTTCTTTATTTCCTATGGAATTGTTTATTTGCTATTGCAAGCAATTTGTAAATTGCTTTACCTATAACAAATGTAAATAGAATGAATGCTCCAAACAAAAGAATGTTCGCTTCCAAAAAGAATGATGTCCTCAGTTTTTAGTTTCCTGCTTGAAAGGTAACAAGAGGTTTGATTCTATACTGACTTCATCTATCATTAGAATAATACTCAATAGTATATTTTAAATTTCTATTGCTAACTCTCGATTTTTTGTTTGATACATTTTCACTGAAGTCAATACAACATTCCTGCAATACTACATACCATAAGTTCTGTAAGTATACAAAACAAATTTGTGAAGACTGCTTCTCCCTCAAGCTGCAGCACTTTAATACAGGCTACCTGTATAGACCTCCTTGTCCACAGAGAGGCTATTCATTCAACTTACATGTGATTTCACTTCAGTGTCATACACAAGGCTCTCCCAAAGACCATGGAATTCAACTGCAAAACAATTAGACATTATTAATTAATGCATAACTGTTAATCCCAGTTATTTGTTATCCAACGGTACTTTATAATACCGATAGATTTTTAAGTTGGCCCTTAATAGCGATAAGAGAGATGCTCAATCATAATTAAAGATAGGGAACAGACATTTTGAATTATTAAAATACATCAGTTAATTTCATTCATGAGTGAATCAGACAGTTTTACAACTTCTGCCACGTAACACTACTTGGTCAATAGCTGTAAGTATGGGTTAAATTATATACTGGTTTCAATTTTCAGTAACATTTCACATATACAGGGGAAAAATTAAATTGAATAGAAGTTGTTCCTAATTATTTTGTTTTACGTGTTAAACACGTAAAAGTGAGTGAAATTCCAAATTTACTAAGAGTGAAAAATCTATTGAAAGTCAGGATATTGGTTTATTTAAAAAAAAAGTCCAGTTTTATAATTAAATTTATTTACAAGACTATCATCTTGTAAGCGTGTAAGCGAGAAAGGCAGAAAAAAAATCAAGCAGTTTCAGAAAAGTGAAAATCAACTGCTTATTTTGGTTTGCATTAATGTGCAGTGTTTTTAAAACAGGAACATTAAAAGCTTATAAATAAGTTTCAGAACTTTCCGAAAGGAAACCTAAAAGGTTTTAAAAACAAGGTTCCCTCTTAATCACAGCAGATTTTTAAAGGTAGGAGCTGAGAAAGTGGCTGGGAGAGAACCACCTCACATATCATCTTACATAATGTGTTCTATACAAAATGATTCCCAAACGAACAAATATCTTCCCCTCCACAGTGTCTCCCAAGAAGTGGCGCTCGAACTACATGGTGTACTCAAAGTTTTTCAAAGGACTGGTCAAAGGGCGAGAATGCCATGGAACTGCTATTTCCCTCATTTCCACCAGAGTGCCCAATCTGATTCTCCTGATGTCATGGTAATAGCAGAGAGAATCAGGTCCTTGTGATGGACAGGAGGAGTGCTGGCCAGAAGTTGGTGACTGAAGAGTTAAATTCAGGTAGCTAGCAAGGGTGTTGGCAGGGAGCCAAAAGAACCAATGGGATACAGTGCTGAACTTTGAATTGGATATAGATGCCTGGTCTATTCTTCCTTTGTGTGACTTCTAAGAATGGCTGGCGGGAGCAGATGTAGTACTCAGAATTACCACGCCTATAAGAAATATTGGACGAGGGAGTGAACTGGGCTTTGAAGTACAGATCAGCACAGATCGTGAGTAAAGGGAAAAGGTGTATTTAGTCCCAATCAGGGCATTTCTCTTTTTTTTGGTTGTTTGGTTACTTTTCTCTGTGAATCTGTCTTCCCTCCCCCATTCACTCTCTAAGAGCATACCCAGAGATGTTCTGTGTTTTATTTTGTTTTACTCAGTTGCTCTGTAACACCAAGCACTACGTATGCTTTATCAAGTATACCTTTTTGTTTTGTTAATAAAATCACCTTTTTTAAGGCAATGATTTGATTCTGGTGTGCTGGAAGGAAACAGGAGGTCTCTGTGTGTGTATGCATGCCTGCCTAAGACATGGTCAGCTACCAGAGACTGCAGTTTGTTTTCTCTTTGTTTTTCAAACTCTCTTGTGGTAAAGGAGCTCAGAGATACCCCTCTGGACAAAGTCCAACTGCTTTCTTCCTGGGTTCAAGAAGAAAGGGGTTTTCTTTTATTTCACTTGGTGGTGGCAGCTACCCCCCCAAAAGTCAGTGAATCTGTGACTCTGGGGAGTTTTTGTAAGCAGAGCAAGGCATTTAAGGTCTTCTGTGGGCCCCCATTTTCTGCAGTTGGAGTGCCAGAGTTGGGAACAGCCATGGCAGCCCAACTTCGATACATTTAGGGGTAAATCTTATTCCGGTTCTAGAAACAAGGCCCCTGTACACCTCTATTCTTCCCACTATCTCCGTCCATCCCTCCTCCCCCCCGGCCTTCTTAAATAAATGACTTGACAAGATGGGATAATACCAGTCTGTCCAATTACTGGCTTTGATCTTCTATTTTTCCACAGAGTAAGAATTAGGAATAAAGTGATATTTAAAGAATTCAATACATTGCTCATTTTCAAATTAATGAACTCTCCAATAGATCTTAACATATGCCATATAAAAGCCTCCTATCCTGAAAGCCCTTAAGCAGTAGGGTGTCTGGCTAGTGAATCTTGCCCACATGCTCAGGGTTCAGCTGATCGCCATATTTGGGGTCAGATAGGAATTTTCCTCTAGGGTATATTGGTAGAGGCCCTGGAGGTTTTTCGCCTTCCTCTGAAGCATGGGGCACGGATCACGTGCTGGAGGATTCTCTGTATTTTGGGATCTTTAAACCATCATTTGAGGACTTCAATATCTGAGATATAGGTGAGAGGATTATTCTAGGCGTGGGTGGGGGAGATTCTGTGGTCTGCATTGTGCAGGGGGTCAGACTAGATGATCATAGTGGTCCTTTCTGGCCTTAAAGTCTATGAGTATTACATAGTGGTGTAGTTATGTCCACTATATACAGTGAGACAAATGTGCATACATAGAATTATACCTTGTGTACAGAGCAAAAATGGGTGCCCAAGATTAGCACATACAAGTACCAGAGCAGAAGGCTGTGTGTATTTGTGAAATGTTCTTGTAAAATAAGGATTCATTTAGATCAGGGGTGAGGAACCTAAGGCTTGCATGGACCCAGCCCCTGAGGCTTGGGACTCCCCTCAGCAGTGGGAAGCCCATGCTGGCACTCCAGCCTGCTCTGCTATTCCCACCACAGGGCTGGAGCCCACAAAATCTACTAGCCTGGGACCAACTGATTTTCCTGGGTCAGCAGTCCCTGACCCAAAGAAGGTATCCCACCTCTGATTTATATCATGCATTTTCACTCACGACCACAAAAACACTTCCTTTACCTCCTAGTACTTCAAAATTGTGTGCCAGCTCCCAGAAACCTCTGATGACTAATAAAAAATAACCATCAGTTGATTGGTCCCTCACACCTGTTGGTGTGAAATTACAGAACTAGAAGGGACCCTGAGAAGTAATCAAGTCTAGTCCCCTATGGGATCAAGCATCATCTAGAGCATCCATGACAGATGTTTGCCTAACCTGCTCTTAATAATCACAAATGATGAAGACTCTGCAACCTACGGAGGCAATTTATTCCAGAACTTAACCACCCTGACAGAAGGAAGTTCTTCCTAATATACAGCTTACATCTCCCTTGATACAACGTCAGCTCATTGTTTCTGTCCTATCATCATGGGTTAAGGAGAATAATTCCCCTTCCTCACTGTAACAATGTTTTAGGTACTTGAAAGCTGTTATGTTGCCTCTCTGTCCTCTTTTCCAGACTAAACAAACCCAGTTCTTTCATTCTTCCCTCAGTTCATGTTTTCTTGAATCTTTAATAATTTGTGTTGCTTTTCTTTGGACTTTTGCAAGGTTATCCTAATCTTTCTGTGACATCCAGAACTGAACACAATACTCCAGTTGAGGCCTAATCAGCACAGAGTACATCAGAAGAATTATTTCTTGTGTCTTGTTCACAACATTCCTATTAGTTCATCCCACAATTATGTTTGCTTTTTTGCAGGAGCAGCACCACACTATTGTCTCTTATTTAGCTTGTGGTCCGCGATGACCCACAGATCCCTTTCCACAGCAGTCATTTCCCATTTTGTAATGTGTGTAACTGATTATTTCCTAAGTGGAATGCTTTGGATTTGTTCTTATTGAATTTCATCCTCTTTACCTGAGACCATTGCTCCAGTTTCTCCATATCATTTTCAATTATAAATCCTATCCTTCAAAGCATATGCAACCCCTCCCAGCTTGATGATATTCAGATTACCTTGAACAAGCAGCCCTATAGCAGCGGAACAACTATGTGCCCTCCCATTCAGATTTTTCCTCTCATCCCCTGCTACTGTGGAGCTCTCACTGACCATCCCAGCTGGCTATCAAAGAAGAGTACCTGCAGGTAGAACCCAGTGGTTGGCTGCAACAATATCCTCATTCTCTTCTTCTAGATTTTCAGTGCTTGGCCCTTCGTCATTCAGATGAAAAATATGAATTGAGAGATTGCATTTGCTCAAATCAATGGGCTACGATAGGAAAAAAGTCAGTTTTAATAAGAGGATAAGTCTTATTTTTATAGATATTAAATAAGCTGAACAAGTTTAAGAAGTGGGCTAAAAACGGAAGCAAACTGAGGTTTTTGGGTAGACAACTATATACATTTAGAACCAGTGACTGAATTTTAGTCCAATTATTTTTAACTCCAATAAATCATACGGAGAATGAGATGGTATTCATATACCTTCTGTGCATCTTACCTTATTTCAATTCATTTGGTGGTTTTGAATGTGGTAGATGAGACTGAACATTCTACATTTCTACTATACATCAGAGTAACAAGAAGCTACAAAGCTCTCTGGATCAAAGATCTTAGGAAGCCTATTGCCTGTGAACCTCTTTTAAACATTCAGCTCCTTAATTAAAAATAAGAAGTTTGTCTGTATGAAGAAAACAATTTCAGTCTGAATTCTGAAGTTTACTTTTGGGGGATTTATGTGGTTCAGCATTTGACTGATGAAAAAGTCAGTGGCCAACTAACCAATCACATGCTGATAAAATATGGTCAAAGTAAAAAAGTGGCACTAGTCAGAACAATAGTACAGACTGATCTGGCACCCTTGAGACCTGACCTGTTCCAAATGAGGAAATTTTCAGGAAGTGAGAAGATCCCTTGCCACTGGCCTCTCAGGATGCCGCTCCTCCCTGCAGCTGGCTCCACCCCAGCCCAACTGCCACTGGGTTCTTGCCCTGATGCTGCTCTGGCCTGCTGCCTCTAGCTGGCTGGCAGGTTCTCTCCTGCCTGGCCAGGGCTCCCCAGGGATGGGGTACACTGGCTGCCCAATTTTTGCTGTGCCCTGCCAGGGTTCTCTGGGATCAGGGCTTGCCCACTGTTCTGCTTCTGCAACTCCCTGGGGACAGGACTCCCAGCCAGCTATCACTCCCCAGCACCGGGGCTCTCTGGAGCAGCAACATCCATGGTCTGGCTGAACCAGAGAGTCCTAGATTTAGGAGGTTCAAACTGTAACCAAAAATTGGTCAACAATAGACTTAGCATAGATAAATACTTATGCCAAATTACAAAAAGCAAGTTAGTTTAAAAAAAAAAGTGAGTTAAATGAAGCTCAATACTGAAAAGTTACCTCTTTTAGCAATGTTAGGCTAGTATGTAAATTTAAACTTTATTCAAGTCTTAACAGTTACAAGAGAAGAAAAATGAAATTAAACAAGTTATTTTAATAAATTTGTTAGGCAGTATTTTGTTTTACATTATCTTTATCAACTTCAACTGCTTCATCTATACATATTATCATAACATTCATCAGTATCTCCCTCTTAGTTTGGTGAATACTGACTACATTTTTCACTTGCCATTTTCTTCTCTAAACTTAATGACAGTCACTAGCTTTCCTGCAGTGGAAGTCTTCTATTTCTGATTTTTGAATGGACCATTTCCCAAGCTGACCCAATTTATTTTGCAGCTGCAGTAGTGCACACAAGTGATAGAAATTTCTGTCGTTGTAACTACAGTGGAAGGACACAACCCTTTCCACCTTGATAAACAAGCAGTTTTGATTCAACAGCTGGTATTGTATTTCAGATTGTTTTATGACTGAATGGGCTGCTTCATGCTTTATAATTTATTTTGTACATCCTTTAAAATTTGCAACAGCTACAGTGAGATCAGAAGTGTGGCTTAAAAAGGATGTAGGCATTATGAGAGTCATCACTTATTTTTTCCACAATATTGTTTCATCTATTATCTATCTCTTCAGCTTTTCCAAGTGGACTTTCAGCCTCACTCTGAGGAGTGTTCGGGTATGTGGGCAAAGAGGTGTTGGGTGAGAACATGGTGGGGTCACAGGGTAAGAGGGTATTGGCATGGGCTTTAGGGGACAGATGTTAAAGGGTCAAAGGGCATGGGGTGAGGGTCAAAGGATGTTAGGCACTGGGGACCAACAGCCTGGGTTGGGGCTAGGCAGACCAGTAATGTTCATTATTTGCATAATAAATATGCAAATAAAGTGTTACAGTCCACCAAAAGTTTGTGAATGGATTTTGTTGGTCCCTGGCATAAAAAAGGCTGGGAACCACTGAATTAGTGTGTCCATACTCAATGAGGCTAATAGAGTGGGCTCTAAGTATTCTAAGTACCCAGTGCTTAGTTTATGATGTCATTAAGATGTAGAAAGTAGCAGCCCATCCAGGTCAGATCTTTGTTTAAACCTTTATTCAAGGTGTCACACTTGTAAATGAAACCAAGTTCTGCAGTTTCTCTCTCCAGGTGACCGTTTGAAATAATAGTCACTTTTAGATTCATTAGTGAGTGATCAACAGATTTTTGGGTGTTACCATTTCAAGTATCTGATTTGTGTCCATTAATCCTTGGTCATAAAGACTGTCCAGTTTGGCCAATATATTTGGCAAAGGGCCACTGCTGGCACTTGATGGCATAGAGCACACTGGTGGATGTGCAGTACTATGAACCTCTGATGTGGTAGCTTATGTGGTTAAGTCCTATGATGATGTCCCTTGTACAGATGTGTGGAGAGAGTTGGCAAGAGTTGACTGCAGGGGTGGGTTCCTGAATGAGTATAATGGAAGTGTGCTGTGGGACTGCTGGAAAGAATTTTTGAGGTTAGGGGGTTGTCTGTAGGTGAGGACTGGCCTGTCTCCCAGGGCGTGTGAGTATGAGGGGTCATTTTCCAGGTTGCAGATTGTTAATAAGTGTGCAGGTGAGGCTTAAGTTGAGGGCCGTAGGTGAAGATGTGTGGTGTTTTGTTTTCTTTGTTGGGCTTATCTTGAAGATGCTGATGCCTGGCTCTATCAACCTGTTTTTTCACATCTCTGGGTGAGAATTTAAGTTTTAAGAATGCCCAATAGACATCCTATAGGCGTTTGTCTCTTTGCTCTACTCCCACAGACATCCAGTTGTATCTGTGGGCCTGGCTTTAAACAATTGACTGTGAAGTGTGTCTGGGATGGTAGCTAGAGGCTTGTAGATAAGTTTAACGGTCAGTAGGTTTCCCGTATAAGGTGGTAGAAATGTAGCCATCATGTAATTGTACTGTAGTGTCAAGGAAGTGGATCTTTTGTGTGGACTGATCCAGGCAGAAGTTTATAGTAGGGTGGAAGTTGTTGAAATCCCTGTGGAATTCTTCAAGAGTCTCTTTCCTTCCCATGGGTCCATACGATGAAAATGTCAATGCAGCTAAGTAAAGGAATAGTGCTAGGGGGACAAAAGCTGAGGAAACTTTGTTTGAGGTCAGCCATAACGATGCTGGCATGTTGTGGGGCCATGTGGGGGCCTGTTCCGCTGACCTGAAGACATAAATTGTCCCCAAATGGGAAATAGTTGAGTCAAGACAAAGTCGCAGAGCTCTGTAACCAGGTGTGCAGTGGCGTCATCAGGGATTGTATTTCTGAGAGCCAGTGTGTGTTATTTCAGTTATGTCAATAAGTGGCCCAATATCAGATACCATTTTGAATTTACAGCAAGCAGACAATAATTTCATCCCCCCACCTGGCTGGGAGCACCAGGCTCTGTACTGGAAACACATTAATGGCATTTCTAAGCCTCAATCAAGAGAAAGGAGTACTTCTGTCATCCTGCAGCAGTTACCAAGGTAGCTGTTAATTCTCTACAGCCTCTGTCATGCTCAGGCTGCTCTCTGTTTGGGATGGGGTTGGTAAGTACCTTGCGTATTTGTGGATTAACCTGTCTGGGGCTGGTTGTTTAATCAAGGCTGAGCTCAAGCTTTAGCTTCCTTTGACTGGCAATTTTGATTCCTCCCACCCCAGTGTCCATTGAGCTGCTGGAGATTCCCTCCCTTACTGACTGGGCTGGGGAGTTGCAGAGGATTCTCACCACCAACCACTGACGCAGCAGGGGAGCCTACAAGGACTAAGGGATTGTGGAGGATTTCCCCCATAGTCTCTTCCTGTTGACTAGAAAGGAAGCACACTGGGCCACTGGGCATTGCTGGAATTTGTTCTGTGCTGCAGACAGTTCCTGCCCAGGTTAGGAGCTAGGTGATGGACAATTTTCTGATGACTCCTCCTCAGGATCAGAGGAGGGAACCTATCAGCAATTCAAAGCAGTGAGCCCTGCCCCCACATACCTCACAACATCCCCCTGTCCCTGTAAGAACCTTTCAAAGTAAAAGCAACAAATTCCCCTACTCCCTGCTAAGAAGGCATCCAGTAAATCAGCCTGGGACTAAGGCAGCATGCAGCCTGTACTTGAATTCAAATGATACTTTAGTGCTGTCTTCTATTGGAAAACAAAGGAGTGAGGGGGAGAGATGCAGGACTGAGTTGCAGATTGACCTGTGAAAGTCAATCATGATTGAATGATTGGGGACAGCAGATTTACATTGTGTTATCTAGCAAAAGAAATTAATTTGCTCGTTTGAAAATGAGAATGTGATCCAGTATGAAGTTTGTGGTGTTCTGCTAGTACCTCTCACTGCCTGTTTTCCTCATGTAGAAATACACCTTTTTAATACTGTATATGCACGTTTGCTTCATTGGCAGGGGAGAAATGAAATAATTTTGGAAAATTTGTATCCATCTTTTGTGGTGCAGTTATTATTGCTGTACTTGTTCCTTAGGTTCTCACATGGAAAACCCATGAACATTTTGAAAAACAAAAATAAAACATACAAGAAATAGTTGACATTAATTATTTTACTCTTATCTTTAGCCGATTTAAATTACTATAATTTAATCTGATGTAATAGCAAGTTGATAAGATTTTTTTTTTTAAATAGAAAAATGTTATCCTTTATCTTTCAAAAAAAATTGGGTACCTGTCTTTCTTTCAGTTTTAGCTCTGTGTCCACAATTGACACAGATTGCACATTGTTGTTCAGAAAACCATCATCAAACTCTGTCCATGTGTAATCACCAAAAACGACGTTATGTCTGTTTAGTAGCTTTAAGACATTCAGCTGGACATCTTCTTTCTTTGAGGTACTAACAAGAGAGAAACAACATGATTTAAGCACCTGTGATATGCTTGGAAGCATGCAAGATTAAGATACTCAAAAAGCTTATTTTTCATAGAATCATAGAATACTAGAACTCAAAGGGACCTCGAGGTCATCATATCTAGTCCCTTGCACTCATGGCAGGACCAAGCACGATCTAGATCAAGCATGTCAAACATGCCGCCCACGGGCTCAACGTGGCCTGAACACAGCTGGATCGAATTTTTTTGCAGCCTGCAACTACATATTTATAAGTTATCTGAGTGCGACTCACCCGGTTGAGCCACGGGCCTGGACTACTCGTGCCTCAGTGCCTGATCGTGGGCGACCGCCCTGAAAAATTATAAAATATACCTAAAACCATCTACAATAATAAATAATTACGACTTTCCAGAAGAAGTACATTTTCTTTGCTGGCCCTGAAAGCTATCAGCTTTTGTTTGTGAGGCCTTCAGTAGGCTTTGAGTTTGACATGCCTGATCTAGATCATCCCTGAAAAATGTTTAACCTGCTTTTTAAAATCTCCGATGATGGAGATTCCACAACCTCCTTAAGCAATTTATTCCAGTGCTTAGCTACCCTGACAGGAAGTTTTTCCTAATGTACAACCTAAACCTCTCATGCTGCAATTTAAAACCATTGCTTCTTGTCCTATCCTCAGAGGTCAAGGAGAGGAATTTTTCTCCCTCCTTATGATACTATTTTAGGTACTTGAAAACTGTTATGTCCTCTCTCAGCCTTTTTTCCAGGCTAAACAAGCCCAGTTATTTCAATCTTCCCTCATAGGTCATTTTTCTACATCTTTAATCATTTTTGTTGTTCTTCTTTACATCTTTCCCAATTTCTCCACATCTTTCCTGGAATGTGGGTTTTCAGAACTGGATGCAATACTCCAGATGAGGCCTAATCAGCACAACTACTACAGAATTAATCATCATCTCACTTACAACACTGCTGTTAATGCATCCCAACATGACATTTACTATTTTTTGTAACAGTATCACAACGTTGACGCATTTAGTTTGTGGTCCAAAGTGGCCCAGAGAGTCCTTTCTGCAGTACTCCTCCTTAAATAATCATTTTCCATTTTGTATGTGTGAAACTGATTATTCTTTCATAAGTGGAGAGCTTTGCATTTGTCCTTCTTTCATTTCATCCTATTTACCTCATACTATTTCTTCAGTTTGTCCAGATCATTTTAAATTATAATTTTATCTTGGTATCATCTGCAAACTTTATAAGCATACTCTCTTCCATTGTCTAAAATAGTTGAAGATATTGAATAGATGTTTCCCCTAAAATGCTGGGAAACAATAAAAAATGGAAAATGATTTTTCCTTGAAGAACAAGTGTTCTAATAACTGATAGCTTAATTTCTGGCAAGTATCAAAGAATACTAGTAGAAGCTACACTGAAAAAAGCACACAGATACTCCTGGGGGAATTCTGCACTAAAGTTAAAAATTCTGTGCGCAATATTTTAAAATGCTGCATATCTTGTCACAACACTATATAATCACTTCATTTTCAAGTATTTTGGCAATTTTTTCAAAATACTTATCAGCAAGTATGTCTTAACAGTACAGACAAAAATTCCTCCAAGTGCAGAGAGATAAATAAACCCCTATGACAATCCAGTTCCTATTTCTCTGTCCCTTCATCCCAGATCCTAGCAGGTGGCCAGATACCCACATGCCCACCACCTAGAGCCCAGCCATGGAACACCACCTACCCAAAACACCCATACCTCTGCCCCTCCCAAATCCAGCTGTGCTCCCTTCCTCCCCCCCAGTCCAGGAATCCAGAGGGAGAGAAAGCCTGAAGCTGGATCCAGACTTATGTGGAGGTTCCTGTGCGCTGCCTCCTGCTTTTAAGGTGTGCGGAAAACTGCAGCTGCCAGAAACTCCCTAACTCCTTCCCCAGCTGTACCCTGCCTGGTCCAGTGGCAGCCAGCAGCTTTGCATCCCATTTCTGTGGAGGAAAAGGACATTCTGCACACAAAACAATGTCATTGCAAATTCTTAATGTGCAATGGTGCAGAATTCCTAGGAGAGAAAAACTGCTTCTAACCTGTTCTATAAATGTTATTCTTTGAGCTATGTTTCATGTTCATTCCACTTATGGTATATTCAAATCCAGTGCACAAGTATCAGAAATGTTTCCCTTGGCAGTACTCATTGAGGCAGGTCATGAACTCTCTACTGCATTGTGCAGCTGCACAATGGTATAAAGAGCAGAATGCATGCCCCTCTCCCCTCTGTTCCTTCTTACTAGACAGACCCCAAGATAGAGGGGAAGAATAGTGAGTCATAGAAGGATCGCATTTCAAAGACTATCAGTTACAGGTTGATAACTGATTTCTTCAAGTGATTGTACACATCCACTCTACTCCAGCAGACTCAAAAGCAGTTCAATTTAAAGGAGGATCACAGTTTACCCAAAAACTGATGGAAGCAACTATTCATATCCAATTTTGGCTCTCTCCCCTATTAAAAGATAGCATCATGGCAAGCAAAAATATGTATTGATGACAAGTTTGAATTCTAAAAATGTCCAATACAGGCACTTTAGCTAGAAAAACCAAAGAGGCTGCATGCCATCTTGTTGCATTTGCTAGCACCCTATTTGTTGGAATTACATTAGCCATATTGTAGCATAACCACATACAGGAGGAAATGCATAACAAAGTTCTTTGGGATGAGATTAGAATACCCTACATCCTGTCCATAGTTGTTAGGATGACTAAATAGTTTAGTCTTATGTAAATAAAATACAAATGTTCTCCTTAGATGTGTGGCATCTCTCTCTTCAGCATTATGTGCAAGAGGGTTAGGAAAGAAAGGAGATAAATGCATTGTCTGTTTGATATGGAAATGAGAAACCACTTTGATGAAAAGCCTTGGATGAAGATGTTCAAGGTGAACTAAGATCCTGTACTTGGGGGTGGAACTTCGCCGAGACTCTTCAAAAACCTGAGTGAGTTAGGACTAGAAGAGAGAGATTAAACAGCCTGAATAAAAACACCATGGCTCCCAAGAACAGGAGAGATTTCACCTTTTTAAGGATAATTTCCACAGGACAGAGGTCCTTGAAAAGGGATGGTGAATAGGAGTTAGAATGGAGATAAAAACTAAAGATGACAGATGTGAGTTAAGAGCCACTTGTTTGTAGTAGTACAGGTCCGAGAGCTTAGGAATTGGGATAGCCTCTCGGAAGCAACAACAACAACAACAACAACAAAAAGAGAAGCTCGCATAACAAATTAAACTGTCTTCAACTATCATGTCAGATGGATTGTTTGGTGTTCTCAGATTGTCTGGATCAGCTCAGTGTAGGATGAAAGGGAGGAGGTGGTAGACATTTGACCTTTCTTTTCTTCTAAACTGATCACGTGGTTGAGGTATGAAGATTGATAACACTGGAATGACTGAGCACAGAACTGTTCTCCAGGATTAGAGTGCTACATTGAAAACTTTTGAGGATTTAGTGCTCAGTGCTCATAAAGAGACCATGCAGTTTATCATAAGTCTGCTAAGGAAAAGGGTCATGTCTCAAAGAGGAGATTATGAGTGGTTCATGGGCCCTCTAGAGGGCGAACGGATAACTGGAGCCATGAATACCTATCCATGCAATTTGCCCGTGCTCTCCTGAATTACTTCCAATTGTCCATCCAGGGAGAAGGCAATCCTCTTAAACAGGTCTTGATAAACTCTGTAATCTTCCTGGAAAGGTCAGGGCACACCAGAGACCACTACTGTATCATGAGACAAAGAGGATGAACATAAAGCCAGCTGAGGTACAGCCTCATGTAATTCCTGATCCACTGAGGAAGGTTGCTCATTTGGTATCCAACTCAGTACTGGGATTGATTTTATGTGGCTTTCTATGCAAATTATCCAAATACCTATTGGAAAGATCTAGAGGGAGGAGTGTAGAAAGCATGTGGGTGTGAAAGGGAAACCTAATGGGTTCCAATATGACCACTGAGTTCTCAAACTCTCTCTCACAAAGACACCATGCCCATGAGCTAACATGGAACCTTAGCGGGGTACAAAGGATGAAGATTCCCGGAAGGAGTCTTCTTCCCTAAAACTAATACAAATAAAATCCAATTTGGCATCTTGGGTTCATCATCCCAACCAAGATGGTGTGATATCCCTTGATGTTAACGAGGAATATCAAGATTGCATAGACAAGGGTACTAAAGAATGTACACTAGTTTGCCCTCTTGACAACATAAGCAGAGGCACAGGAGGGTTCAAATATGCCCGAAGTAGCAACAATTAAGCTCTAACTTCAAGTAAGTCAGAATGATGGTTCATTGGTACCAGACAGAATATCTCCTGAAACACTGGTTCAGCTGGTTCTAGGAGACACAAGAGACTATGTTCCATGGTACATAGCTCCAGGCTGGTGGCCACCAAAAGGTTGCCTTAATACTGTTCAAACGAAATTATAGAAACTGGTGACTGCAATGATAGTGCAGCACTGGTCAGTTTCAGAAGTACTGGCAATTTCACAACTATGTTTTGTCCTCCCTAGGGACCACTGCATGCTTGCTAAGTGATGGACCTCTTAAAAATAGTCCTATTTCATCTGCTTATGTGTCTTCCTTGGTACCAAAGAAAGACTAGCATCGAAACCTGCAATACCTGGAGGTGCATTCCTCGCTGAAGCAGACATACTTGGTATCATGAGTGAAATGGCCCCAAAGCAGACACAAGGCTGCCACCATAAGAAGGTACCTTCGTCTTGCCTTCCTGTCTGTTTTAATTAAGGGCTTAAATTCCGGCAATTCTGGCACCTGTTTCAGACATGAACTTCTGAGGCACTTCAGACAGCTAGAATTGGGAGGAACGGGGAAAAGGAAGGTTTCTTGCATCCAGTGCAAGGCCTGGAGACTATGGCATGCCTGAGAACTGGGCATGGGAACCCAGACCAAGCGGGAAAAGAACACATTAAGTACAAACAATACTAAATAAATAGTATTTATCTAGTAGTTTTGTAGCTAGCTTGATAAATTTCAACACTAGAAAACAATTGTAGAGAAAGAAAATACTTACGTTCTAAATATAGGTTGGACCTCTCTGGTCCAGCACCCTCAGGAACTGACTGGTCTGGACAAGGGGATTTGCTGGACTAAGGGAGGTTCCTCCCCAGTGGCCCATGCTAAACTGCTGCCACTGCCCACCTTGTTGCTGCCTGGCCAGCTGTCTCTCCCTGGACTGGAGCTCTCCAACTCCTGCTGCTGCTGGGGTTGGAGCTGTGCAGCAAGGCTTGGAGTTGTGCGTCCAGGGTTGGAACTCTCTGGCTACAGCCAGGGATGGAGCTTCACAACCACTGCTGGCCCCCGCTACTGCCCAGTTGTTGGGGCCAGATCTCCCTGCTGCGTTCTTCCTACCAGAACACAGATGTTGCCAGACCAGAGAATGCCGGTTAAGGGAGGTACAACCTGTACCATCACAGGCAATAAGGAGGAACTGAAAGGGATCAGGGATGGCACTGACCTTTATATCATTGCACATAAAGCAGCAGAGGACACATGTTGCCTTGAGGAGTACCACTAATGGAAAAAACCTCCAGTGTTAGTGCACTAGTGTGCACACAGATGAAGTGGAACAGCCATTAAAATCATTCAAAAGAGAACATTACTGACTGCTTGACTGCGGCAAAGGAAACTCTGAATGCAACGCTAGCAGCTTTATTGAATGAAACTCAGTTATGCAACCTAGAGCTTTTGCTTGAAAAGGAAGAAAAGGGGATAGAAGGCTCTATATTTAGCTTGAAGACTCCGTTATCCCAGGCTGAGAACAAATGACAACTCAGGATGATATGGCAACAAAAGAGGATCTCTAGTTTATTAAAAGATTTGGGGAAAAGGAAACCTATTTTACCTCTAAGTAAACAATGCATTTTAGCAGTTAACCATTTTAAGCACAACAGAACTTTTCCTTTTGTATTCCTATATTCAGCAGTTTACTAGTCAGACCATATTTTTTTTTTGTTTGTATCAGTTTTCCTCTACTTGATGAAAAATGCTTTATTAGAACTAAAATTAGTAATAGTCATTTTAACTTGTGATGATTTGTTTAGTCTAGGAGAGGGATTATACCAAAACACACTTGAAATATTAAAAACTTTAGACACAAAGTTTTAAAAATCCATGTAACATTTAATTATCATGGTCATAAGCATTTTGTGAATCTCCATAGATAGCTATTACTATTGTTTGGCAGTATCCAGAAGCATGCTAACTATTACACAGAAATCACAGAAAAATCATAGTCCTTGCTCTCAATTTGCAGCCTCAACTGGAGATGTGACGAAAAGTGAAGGATAAGGCTTGCAACACTATAGTTACAAACATACCAAGATATGCACATACATAAATTGAGTGAGTCTGAAGAGTTTTGTGTCTTTGTTACACTTGTTTGTGTACAAGCAGTTTCTTAGGGCAGGGCTAGTAAAGTATTTTTAAATTGCTGTTATTCATAGCATGATTCTCCATCACTGAAGCTGACAGAATATGAAAAGCTAATAAATATAGTCTGGAGGCCCATCATATTAATCCAGCATTCAATAGAAAAAAATTTCAAAAACCAGTGCAAAGATACTAAGATAACTTATTGCATGACTGTTTTCCATGTCCTTTATAAACATACTAAGGTGATATCTGCCTAGTACACAGTACGTTTTCATTGACTTTTTTAAAAAACAGAGCTATTAAGAAAATATGAAGGTCTGTTTCCAGAAATTATCTTGCCAACACTAGTTACTCATTTAATATAATCATCTAATGACTGATTCATCCCATTTTATTTAAATGAAGGACACATTAATTTGCCTACGCAAAAGAAAAAAGTGAAAGCTATAGAACTTTACATAACTCTAAGTCTAAAGTACTTAAAGGCAAGGAAATATTTGTAGACCTCCTAAGTTTTGCATGTATCACACAATATATTAAGTGGTAATCATTTTTTAAAAATAACTTTGTTTTGTTGTGTTCAAATATGACCCAAAACAAACAGCACTTTTTCATAACTAATCCAAAAAAGAAACATTTGTCAATAAAAAGATTATATACGAGCACTCTGTGTGTCATACAAAATTTACATTTACATACTTGTATTATCCTGACAGTGTTACGATTGTCAGGGTTTGTTATTAGACAACATGTATATTATTGTCATAAAAAAGTAGATACATCCTTAATAGCTGATATTTAATCAGATGATTACAATACTATCAATATTGACACAGTAATATCAAGATAAAAATATATTAAATAAAAATCCAAGGTCAGAGTTAACTTTATGGCAGTGAAATGTGCATTTCTTAAAAGGAACAATAAGTTTAATATACAGATGGTACAACTTTTTATTTTTCTTTAGTTAACTGGTTGTTAGTGGTAACCACCTTTACTTGAAATGAAGATTTTTTTAGAAAAGCTACTAAGTTCTTGTGATGTATGTTGGACTTCATTTGTATACTTATGAAATGGTCAAAATATAAACCAAACCTGTTTGATTTCTGATGAACTTCTACATGGATCTGCACAGAATCACAAACATTTGGAAGTGCCTGTTTTAAGTCATCAGCTGCCTCATCCATTTTATTCATTCCTAAAAAGAAAATAAACAGTTTTGATTACAAAAATGCCTCCATTAACCTTTATTTTGAAAAGCTATGAAAACATCAAAATGAAAAAAATATCTGCCCCTTTTTCTAAAAATAATGCAAAGTTAATACTTATGAAATATCAGTGGGAATGTACAAGTGTGGCTATAACGCTTTCTGGAAGATAGGGTTGTAAGCGACTAGTCACCTACTCGACTATCCAATAAGCAAAAGCTTATTGGATAGTCGACTAGTCAAGGGGGGGGAAGCAGGAGCCGGTGCTGGGGGAAGCCGGCTTAAAAGCCAGTTCCCCCAGCACAGCTGATTCCCAGCTCACGCTCAGTTCCAGAAGCTGCACCTCTGCTTTTTAAATGTATAAAGAGCCGGCAGGTTCTTAGTACATTTAAAAGGCTGGTGTGCACAAGGAGGAGGGAGAGCCAGTGCAAGCTGAGAATCAGCTGTCCCAGATCACACTGGGTCCCCCTCAGTGTGCTTCAGACTTTTAAATGTATTAAAAACTGGCAGGCTCTTAATATATTTAAAAAGGCAGAGCTGCAGCAGGGTTAGCTCCCAGGGCTAGGAGCTAACCCTCCTGTGGCTCCCCTGCTTACTGACTAATCGATGGAAAATCCATCGACTAGTTAATTAGCTGAATAAACAAAATTTAACATCACCACTAGAAGAGGGCTGTTTAATCTTTCCACCAATCCCTCCTCCCCAATTTATGAAAAAGAAAATACAGGAGTTTTTTTTAAATGTAACACTTGAAGCAGTGATATTCAAATCCAGGCAAATATATGCAAATTTCCATACCACAGTCCACAACTCTACATGAATTAGATAAGCTTTCGGCCATTCACATCTACAAACTTCTCTATAAACTCATTCTGTTGCATTGTTTAGATGAAATACATGGATAAAGGCATTGGCATAACCCTTGTCATTGTCCAATGTTAAGCAAGATCAGGAAATAGACACTCCAATCTGCTTAGTACCATGACAAACACATGATTAACATTCATGTAACCTTTCATTAAGAAAAAAGTTAACACATTTGAAATGTAAAGTACTGAGGCTTCCATATTTAACATTTTTTTTCTTTCCCTTTATTTAGAAAGGAATTTTAGATAAAAATCTCCCAGTATTTGAAAGTCTCAAAAGCCAGTATAAAAAAAATGGTGGTAATTGACCTAGGGAAAAGAAGTCTGTAGAAATTTGCTGAAGTTTTTGTTAAAGTTTGATCCTGTGTCATCAAAGGTGGCGTTTGGGATTTAGTTTCTCTCTGGCCCAGTCATGTCAAGACATCCCTCAGGATTAGGATGAAAATCTGGGATTCCAGAGATGGTGGGGATTCAGTCATGATGAAGCTAGCTCCAGCAACCAGTCTCGCCCCACTCTACGTTTCTTTCTTTACAGACCCAAAAAGGGAGTGAGGATGGAACAATCCATCCCCTCATTATTTTGTCCATCAGTTAGCATTTTGGAAACTAGGTCTAATTTTGATTCACTAGTTTCTGGTTCTACACTTGCCTTGTTTATCAAACATGCTCTTGACACAATTATTCTCTTGCTACTTCATATTAAGGATGTAAAATATCGGGTAATTGACTAATCAAATAGCCAATGCATTTTTGCATCAACTACTGTAGTCGATAGGGAACCTCCACCTTTGAAGTGTAGCAACAGCCTTTGGGCTGTTGCTACATTTCAAAGACAAAAGCACAAAAGCCCTGGGTCAGCTTGGGATTTCCCTGCAGATCCCCAGGCCCAACAATGCTGCTGCTTTGAAGTACCCTGCCTTCCCCCTGCT